TAAAATTATATATACATTAAAAACTCCCTAATCCTAAGAATACAGCACAATGAATTTCTCAGTCTGAACCAGCTGTGCATCCAAGCACAGATCAAGGAACAGAACATTACCAACACCCCAGACGCACACCTGTGCCCTCTGCCTCCTTTTGGTCGCTACTACGCCTGCCAAGGGGAACCATTATCATGGCCTCTCATATCATAGATTAATCTTGTTTTTGAACTTTCTAAAATTTGTTCACTGTATTTGTGAGATTTATCGATGTTGTTCTGTGTAGTTGTAGTTCATTCGTTCTCTTTGCTGTATACCTTTCTGAAACAATCATAATTTATCCATTCTACAGTTGATGAAAATTTGGGTTGTTTCCAGTTTGGGTACTATAGTGTATAAGCATTCTTGCACATGCCTTTTGGTGTACACATGCATGCATTTCTTTGGGTATATACCTAGGAGAGGAATTGCTGAGTTACAGGGTAGTCTCAGCTTTAGTTGATAATGTCAGTTTTCCAAAGCAGATGTATCAATTTACTTTCCCACCAGTAGTGTATGAGAGTTCCAGTTGCTTCACATCTTCACCAACACGTGGTATTGTTAATCTGTTTAATTGTAGACATTCTAGGTATAGACAGTTGTGCTTTTAACACAATGAGATGTAATCCACATACCATAAAATTCACCCATTTAAAGTGCATCCATAGCTACAATTTCAGAACACTTTTATAACCTTTGAAAAAACCTCACATTTCTTAGCCATCATCCCCGACTTCACCTGTCCTCCATAGCCCTAGGCAACCACTAATCTACTGTCTCTGTAGATGTCCTATTATGGACCTAAATCAAACCAAACCCGTTGCCGTCCAGTCTATTCCAACTCATAGTGACCCCATAGGACAGAGGAGAACTGACCCATAGGGTTTCCAAGGAGTGGCCGGTGGATTCAGCTACTGACCTTTTGGTTAGCAGCTGAACTCTTAACCACTATGCCACAAGGGCTCGCTATTATGGACATTTCGTATAAATAGAATCATTCACTACGCGGTCCTTTGTGACTACCTTTTCATTTAGCTTGTTTTTAAATTTCATCCATTATTGTAGCATGTATCAGTACTTCTTTTTATTGCTGAGTAATATTGCATTGTATGGATATACATTCGGTTTACCCATTCATCAGCTGGACATTTGGGTTTTTCCCACTTTTTGGCTGTTATGCATAATGCTACACTCAACATTCCTGTACAAGTTTTTGTGTGGAGATGTTTTCATTTTTCCTGGGTATATACCTAGGATTGAATTGCTGAGTCATATGGTAACTCTATGTTTAACCTTTTAAGGAACTGCCAAACTGTTTGCCAAATGGGCTGCACCATTTTACATTACTATCAGCAATGTGGGGGCCCTGGTGGCAGTGGTTAAGCTTCTTGGAAACCCTATGGGGCAGTTCTATTGTCCTAATAGGGTCGGTACGAGTTGGAATCTACTCGATGGCAATGGGTTTTTGTTTTTTTTTTTTTTTATCAACAGTGTAGAAGTGTTCTCATTTCTCCACATCCTCACCAACACTTTGATTCTGACTCATAGCAACCCTACAGGGCAGGGTAGAACTGGCCCACAGGGTTTCCAAGCCTGTAATCTTTCTGGAAGCAGACTGTCACATCTTTCTCCCATGGAGCAACTGGTGACCTTTCAGTTAGCAGCTGAGTGCTTAACCACTGCATCACCAGGGTGTGAAATGGTATCTCATTGTGGTTTTGATTTGCATTTCCCCGATGGCTAATGATACTGATATTAATGTGCTCACTGGCCATCTGTATATCTTCTCTGGAGAAATAGCTATTCTGCTCCTTTGTCCCATTTTGGATTTATTGAGTTGCAATAATTTTGTATGTATTCTAGATACAAATCCCTTACCAAATATGCTGTGATTTGCAAAAGTATTCTCACATTCTGTCTTAATGGTGTCCTTTTAAAGCACATGTTTAATTCTTATGATGTCCAGTTTATTTTGCTGTTTGTGCTTCTGGTGTCATTACTAAGAAACTATTACCGAATCCAAGGTCAAAAAGATTTAGTCCTGTTTTCTCCTAAGACATTTATATTTTTAACTCTTACATTTAGGTCTTTGATGCATTTTAATTCTTTTATATAAGGTGTGATGGAACGGTCCAACTGAGATACTCGAAGTCTAATACAAGTACTCTTTCAAGCAGGCGACAAAAATGAGGGGAAAAATTCAGGACTTGGTCAATTTTCTGACTGCCTCAGAGCTCTTGTTAATTGAGTACTGGAGCCAGCCAGAGCACATCACTTTCCCTTAAGCCAAAGAATGACCTTCCCAAATTAGGGAAGAGAATTGGAATCTATTATTTCTTTGTATTTTTTTTTTTCTACTTTTCCTTCTCAAGTAACACAGTCAGCATGTATATAAGTAGTGGGTTTTTATTTTCTTCCTTTTCAAGTCAAAGGAAAGCAATTATACAAACATGTATGAAAATGACAAGCAGACTCCCCTTTCCAAATTACATTGACAAAAGTTTGACATAAACTGTGGCTAACGTGGGCAAATTTGCCCAGTTAACTACTGTAATCTTGTGTCCTGCATCATATGGTTAACATATATAGAAAGAACTCTAGTTATCTACCTATGTATGTATCTCTGTTTAATATGCATATACCACATGTGTGGATACAGTTTTAGCTATCTTTTCGGCCTTTTAAAAAATATAAATATGTACTCTATTTTATAATGCTAGTTGCTTTTGTGTTTCTAAGCTGTTTACACAAATGTAGAAGTAAAATCTGAAATACAGTCTAAAAATTAAACCCGGCAGCTAGTAGCACAATAGCTCTATCTTCCTGCTGGAATCTTCACCCCTCACAAGCACATAAAACCCCTGCCCTTCCCTAACACAGTAACATCAAAGACAACAAATGTTTTAAGTGTACATCATACATTTATTACCAACAACCCTCTCAACTCCAAAATTGGGCACAGGGATTAAAAATAAAAATTCATTGCACTACTTAGTAAAGCATTACTAGTAACTTTCATAAAAAATGTACAAACTTTGTTAAAAATTTATCAAGCCTTCAAATGATTTGGTTACAGATATTTATAATACGTACATTTAAAATTATGTTAACTGATAACAATGGAATATGATTTGAGAAAACGACTCAGCAAATGATTCCAAAAAACACCCCTGTAAGCTTTCATAATCTGAAACAGCAAAATGAGGTAACAAAATGTACCAACAGGGGGAAAACAGCTTCCTAATGAAGGAAGGCCTAAAGATATCTGTGAAAAAGATTCTTGTGAGTTGGCAGATCTCATTCAAAATATTATAAGAGGTCCAAATTTAAAAATCTTAACAAATCATATTTCAGAGACTGTATAAAATCTAAACATGTGTTCACATTTTCCAGATTTTGCTTTAAGAAAAAAAATTCAGGACAGGAAATCCTAATATGAGATCTTGATACCTGGAGGCCTTGACTTTTTTTGGGGGGGTGGTTAAAAAAAAAAAAATCAAAGTTGACAATTCATATGCAAAAAACAAAACAAAACCAAAAAAACCCACAGCAGAGTTAAGATGGTAAAGCCAATATTGTTTTAGAAGAAAAGAGGAGGAAGGCAACCAACCAACATCTGCCTGCTATCTGGTGCATCACCCAAGTGAAGACAGTCAGGCATCAATCAATTGTTCTTCCTCTTCTGCTAGCCACGAAGTTGCTCACTGTGGCTAGTCTGAGCTGGTTCAGAACACATGCACGTGTGCTCCTATTACACACTAACCACTTCATAAGCAAGACTGCACACATCTCTAAGAGCCCCATGCAAAGAAAAGACATTCCCAAAGAGAGATCAGTCACAAGAGTGCAACAATTAAACTTGGGATTTTACCAAAACAGACCCTGCTGCCTCCTAAATTGCCAACTGCCTCTCAAAAATTTACTGGAAAAGGGACATTATGACAAGAATTCAATTGGAGGGAGGGAAGAAAAAGCTACTTTTCCTAGTTATTAGTACAATGTGCCTTGTTAAGTAGGTATCTCTATATAAATTAGAAAAAGTGCTTTACTTGCATGCTTCAATAAAATGAATACTGAGTGTAGTAGTGTTATGTTAGATCTGTACAGATAGAAACTTTTTGAAGCTATATAAAATTCTATGTAAAGATGGATGGGCCTTTGCCACTTTAAACATGATTTTTTAATTAAAAAAAAAGATTAAAACTATACATGATTTGTATGCAGCTGATTATTATGCCAATAATTTTGGTCTTTAAGTTTTTATTCATCAGGAGCAGGTGGGGTTATCCTACTGTTAAGATGTATTTCTGATGCATTGACAAATCTACGGGCAAACACAAAGTATGCAAAATCCTATTTGTATAACTAGATAGAGGCAACAGTGTCTGGAAAAAGGCAAAATTGTGCTTCTGTGTGAATTGACTTTACTGAACTCTAGGCTGTGATGAGCTTATAGAGACTTCAAAGGAGGGCAAGCAGCATGGCAGTAACGAGTAGTTAACACTGTCTGAAGAGAAAACCGACACAGAGCCAAATGAAAGCGGAGTGAGGGTGGAAGCAAGTTATCACAGTCCTGCTTGTAATTATGCAGCTTGTGCTATTGCGAACAAAGCAGTGACATCAGGAAGAGGCAGACAATGCTAAATACACTAACCGAATGAGAGGAATCTAAACAATGGAGAAAAAAATGACTTTAAACAATCTTAATTACAGTCAATGAACCTATTTAAAAAAAACACACAGCTATGTATTATGTCAGATCAACTAAATGAAGGTCAATTCCTGTTTTACAGCATTATTTTTTTTATACAAAAATCAAATCTTCATTTATACTGCAAGTATTCTGGACACCTGTTGTATTAAACTTTTCTCATTCAAACACAAATTTAAAGGAAAAACAATGAAACGTCAAAGCAAATCAGGTCTAAGGAACACGAGCCATCACAGTACTTGATCCATCCTGGACACAGGGTTTCGATGAGAAGCGCATTTACTGAGGGAAGAAGAACTAGACAACTTTCAGAATTTGAGCTTGGCCGGTGAATTAATACAAAAAGGAGTACAGTTTTCTTAAATCAATTTAGTTGTCTATGGGACCTTGAACAAAGAACACATCTCAGGAGTCAAGCCGAGTTAGTAACAGATGTTGTTCTAGTAGAAGTCCAAGAAGTGAGACTTCATGGGACCAGTGGTATTCTTAGAAATATATTACTCAAATATCTTCAAAATAGACTACAAATCTAAACATTAAAAAAAAAAAAAAAAATCACAGGTACTTTCTGTAACAAGCTTACTGGAAATGTAAAGGAAAAACAAGAAAGCATCGACATTCAAATCATTGATTGAAATGCTAATATTGCTAATTGATGATGTATGATATTGCACCTTCTTTTTGGAAACAGCAAGTTGGAGATTTAAAAATTTCTTTTTCACAATAGAATAAAAAAATCAGGTTCATGGAGTGAGAATCTGTTACACTTTTTTTCTTAAGTGACCCACTTAGGACCACCAATGAAGAGAAGGTGACAGCTGCCTAAAGCAAAGGACGAAGGCTTTTCTCATTCCACTCATTGTGGGGTGGGAGGGGATGGAGTATTCAATGCTTATAATGGATGCACCCTTAGCAGTCAGTGTGCAACAGCAAACACAAGGGGGAAAAAACCAGTGTACAGTACTAGTGCTGTTTAAATAACACACCAGATTATACATTGCAGCATAATTAAAACTACACACACATTCTTGGTACATGCTGGTATATAGGATCTCATACACACATTAGCTACCATGCCCTCTCACAAGTAGTTGCACACACTTTCTCTCTCTCATACAGAGACATTTATCGCCAACAGGCATACACTGCATTCATTTCCACTCACAGTTTCTGAAGGCTCTATATAAGGTAGATTGCTATATCATCTGGAGCTACCACTTTATAAAAGCACATGCTAAAAGATCACGTCCACTGTAATCTTGCAGCAACACTCGGAATGATCACACAAAAACCAGGGAATGTTAGTGCACACACAAAATTAAGCTAAAGAAAGTCTTTGGAGTTCCAATCACACGGTTAGTATAACAATCCCATAATTGTGAAGACTAATTGTAAGCTTTTATAGTTGATTAAGTCACACAGTGCAAAGAAAGGTCCATTGACCCTTTTGGTAAAGTGAGGGCTGGAAGCCACACAGATTAAGTTCAATGGATAGTCCGTATATACATGTGATAAGGAACACCCAAACTATATTTGTGCTCTTAGGTTGGTCATTCTGAATCCCGATGCACTTCTGAAGCATCAGCTCGGCAAATTGGGCAAGTTCGATTTGCCTATAAAACAAAAGTAAGAGAAAATCTGTCTCAATTGTGACTTAAACAATGAAACATATTAAAAGCAAGGCAACTATTTTTTACTTCCCATGTAGTTTTTATGTTCTTTGTACCTTTAAAGAGGTACAATCATTTGTCTTTAAAAAAACAAAAAGCACTTCAATTAAGAGCCTATGACTGATTTTTAAAATAGGTTTGTTCCAACATATTGACAAGATTACCCAATGCCAGTTCAGACAAATTTAATAACTGACTTAAAGCCTCAGCTATTCTTAATGAAGCCACAGAAAACATCCGGTGGCAGTTAAGAAATCCTGACTATAAAATAGTAGACGATCACATGTCTATACTCGTGGGTCTTACTCAACCCTTCCTTGGCTCCTAAACCTTTTCTTTCTCCATGTCAGCAAATGACACCACCATTTGCTGAAGCCAGAAAAAACAAGCATCAGCTGCTCTCTCTTGCGTCCTACAACCCATTTTCACCAAATATTCTCATTTCTACATTACGGTCACTTTCAACTCTGTCCTCTTCTTTTATCCAATTGTCACTGTCCATTCCCCCTCTGGCCCAAACTGTCCTTACTCATCTCCCTATTTCTCAGAAATTACTTCTTCTATTCCATTCTTCACACGGTGGCTAGTGATCTTTCTAAAACACAACCTCAGTCATATCATTCCCTGTTGCTTTCAGGATCAGGTCCAAACTCCTTCACACTACAGTCCTCAATGAGCTGGTCACTGGTTGTATCTCTGGATTTCTCTTCTCTTGCCACTCTCCCTCATTCTCCAGCTATCAGCCACATGGAACCTGTGATATTCTGACTACCCTTTGTTCTCATGCATCAGGGCTTTGCACATCTAATTGCTTTCTTTTGCTTAAAAGTTAAGATTTTAGGATTCAGAAAACAAAGTTGGGTACCTTAATCTATGATCACTCAAAGGACTGATTATATTTTCATTCTTTTCTTATCTGTCTTCCTCATCAAACTGTGGAATTAATATAACCCAATATTATTATCTCCAAATCAGAAGGAAAAAAGTGGACAGAATGGGAGAAAAACATGGAACACAATTCAAATTCTTCGAAGTCCAGATTTACGGGACCAGTTGAGACTAGAAGATGCCCCTGAGATACTCTTAAAATCTTGAACCAAAGTTATCCCGAGGTCACCTTTTAGCTAAATAATAGATTAGCTCACAAAATAGAGTATCACCAGGACTACCATGCTCCTTTAAAGGATCATCTATATGAGATCAAATGGCCAACAGTTACTTTAAAGCAAAGATCAGATGGTAAGGGGGCACAGAAACTAGATTACTGGAAATGGAACAACCTAAACAGAAATAAGGAGAATGTTGACACATTGTGAAGAAAGTAACCAATGTCACTCAACGATTTGTACAGAAATTGTTGAATGGGAACCTAATTTGCTTTGTAAACGTTCACCAAAAACACAATATTAAAAAAAAAAAAAAAAAAAAAAAAAGCTAAGGTGTCGATCTCAAGGGCCCTAAAAGAGACTGATTATCACGATGACATAAGGCAGGGAACCAGAAATGATAAGGCTCTACTTTAACTGAAGACCCCAGAGTGTGACAGGGATAGTGATAATGTCCAACAGATTTCCTACATTTGTGGTTGAAAGTCCACAGGCAAATCCAATACAGAATTCCATTCTCTCACAAAATCCTATTTTAGCTCTTACTCCATTAGTCTGAAAAATGTAGCTTTTGTGCTAATGTGGATTGCTTCAACGTTTATCACATGAAATAAAAGCGATCTAAATATTGTCTTGTAAAAAAAAAAAATTGACATATAAATTCTTCGACTGCATCACATTTTTACTTTACTATTATAATTTTAGACTATGAAAGTATGAACAGTTAAACAAACAAACAAAAGAAGACTCCCCTCCAATAATTTCACCCTGGCATAATCACTGTTGTAATTTGTGCCCTTTGGGCTTTTTTCGTATACACAAACTGATGATGTACAATATTACAGAATCAAATAAAAGCATTAGAAGTTTGCTCACCATGCAAACCTCTAACCAAGAAGTTCCAGTGAGGTCCCCTTCTAAACGCTTAAGGAAACTGTGGCCTAACAAGCACAGCCCTTGTCCCTACATCCCATGACAAAGTCAGGACATATTATTAACTGTCAAGCACAGATAATGTATTTTCAGGTTTTGTATGATAACTCCCATGTTGCTAATTCTGTTAAGTTTTTACTGACCTTTTCCTTTCATCAGCAGAGATCATACTGACAGCTGTGTTTCAATTTTGTCTCCTCTACCCACCCTCTACCAAACGACGGATGTTAAGGCAAACTTACTTTACATGAACCCTATGGTCAGTAAAAAGGGGAAAAACAAAACAAACAATGTTACAATGTTACTTCCTTCACAGATGCCACCACTTTACCTTAAGCCATTTGTCGACACACTTGGCATGGAACTCGTGGTTACAGGGTAAGACTCTAAGTAGCTGCCTTGACTCAAAATCACACATGCATACTACACACCTAAAAAAAGCAAAAAGATCATTTAACCATAAACCTGTCTGGTTTTCTATTTTGTTACAATAACTAAAGCCTACAAAAATCACTGATCATCACACTTACTAAAATACTATTTAAATTTTTAGACAAAAATGACCTAAAAATCATCATTGTGGTAATTTTAAGGCATTTAATAACTCCGATGATGCTTTGCTTTACTGAAAGATTATTAAAAAAAATTCTGGTTTAATATCCATGTTAGTTGTAATACATACCCACACAAGAGAATAAAGTTGAACCCTTCCCTCAACCATATAGAAAATGAACTCAAAATGGATCAAAGGCTGAAATGTTAAGAGCTAAACTATTAAACTCTTAGAAGAAAATATAGACATAAAACTTCATGACCGTGGATTAGGCGATCGTTTCTTAGGTATAACACTAAAAGCACAAGCAACAAAAGAAAATGTAAACTGGGCTTCGATAAAAATTAAAAATCTATGTGCTTCAAAGGACACCATCAGGAAACTAAAAAGACAACCCATAGAATGGGAGACATTTTTGAAAATCATATATCTCTGATAAGAGACTTATATCTAGAAAATATAAAGAACTATTAAAACTCAATAATAAAAAGACAAATAATCATATTAAAAATGGGACAAAGATCTAAAGATGCTTCTCCAAGAAAGATATACACAAATGACCAACACACATAAAAAGATGATCAAAATAATCAGTCATTAGGGAAATGCAAATCAAAACCACAATGAGATACCACTTCACACTCACTACCAAAAAATAAAAAAATAAAAAAATAAAAAACCCCAACCCGTTGCCATCGAGTCGATTCCAACCCATAGTCACCCTATAGCACAGACTAGAACTGCCCCGTACAGTTTCCAAGGAGTGGCTGGCGGATCCGAACTGCCGACCTTTTGGTTAGCAGCGGAGCTCTTAACCACTGCACCACTGGGGCTCCTCACACCCACTAGGATGGCTTTAATTAAAAAAGAAAAACAACAATGTCGGTGAGGATGTGGCAAAACGAAGTCTCATACAGTGCTAGTGAGAATGTAAAATGGTACTGTATCTATGGAAAAGAGTTTGGCAGTTCCTCAGTAAATTAAAACATAGAATTACCATATGACCTCATAATTCCACTCCTGGGTACATATCCAAAAGAACTGAAAACAGGCATTCAAACACAAACTTGTACATGCATGTTCATAGCAGCATTATTCACAACAGCCAAAAGGCAGAAACAAACCAAATGTTCATCAACTGATGAATGGATACATAAAATGAGGTATGTCCATATAATGATATATTATTTGGTAATGAAAGAAATGAAGTATTGATACATGCTACAACGTTATGCTAAGTGAAAGAAGCCAGTCACAAAAGAATATATATCATCCATTTATATAAAATATTTAGAATAGACAAATCTATAGAGACTAGATTAGTAGTTGCCTAGGGCTTGGGGGTGGTTGTGGGGGTTGGGAGATATGGAGAGTGATGGCTAATGGCCATAGGATTTCTTTTTTGGATTAATGAAAATGTTTTCAATTTGATTATGGTGATGGTTACACAACTCCATGAGTATACTAAAAACCACTGGACCGTACACTTTAAAGCTGCTAGTTAAAAAAAATATGATAAGCAAAATCTTCAGGTAGAAACATCAAACTTTGTTACAAGATTTTTCAATCTATATTAAAACATTCTAAAATTTAAATCAGAAACCACAGAAAACTAAAAATCCAGAACAGAGCTGTCCAATGGAACTTTCTGAAATAACAGAAATGTTCTACATCTACACTTTCCAATATGGTAGCTGTTAGCGTGACTAAGAAACTTAATTTTTTATTTAATTTTATTTCAATTTTAATAGCCATTTGTGATTAGTGTCTACCTTATTGGACAGTATAGTCTAGAGTATGAAATGGAGATAACTTATTTTTATCCAGTTATTTTTGACTCTCAAGCTTTTATTTCATAAAGCTAGAAAAGATGTTTAACACAGCGTGATGCCTATATACACACACACACACACACACACACACACACACACACACATATACATATACTTACAAAGTCTGTTCTGACTGGTGGTTGTTAGGATTGAACCGGTAAGAAGGAAGTTGTTCAATATCTGCTTTAGTAAGTCCTCGAGGCTTGGCCTCTCCCAGTCGCTCTGCCAGGTTTAGCAGGGCCTGCAGAGGGGAAAGACAACATTTTAATCTTTAAAAACTTTTCTAATTTCAAAAAATAAACTATTATGGAAAATTTAAAATACAAAGAAATATATACACTAGTGAAATACGTAATGAACCCATTCATGGCTAATCTTATTTCATTTATTACTGTCCACCCATAAATCCAAATTATTTTGAAATAAAACTAAAACATGGCATTTATTTCATTGGTAAAATAGTTCAGTGTGTCTCTAAAACAGTTCGCAGACCTCTTGACATTTAGGCTGGATAATTCTTTGCTGTGGGGGGCAGTCCTGTGCACTGAAGGATGTCTAGCAAGATCCCTAGCCTTTATCTACCCACTAGATGTCAGTGGCACCTCCCAATGTAAGAAACAAAAATGTCTCCAGACATTGCCAAATATCTCCTGGTGGGGGGTGGGGGTAGGGTGGGGGAGAGATCTACTGCCCCTTGGTTGAGAACCACTGTTCTAAAAGATAGACTTAAACAAACAAAACAAAAACCATAACCACAATGATATCATCGCACCTAAAAAATTAACAATAATTTCTTAAACATCAAATATCCAATCAGTGTTCAAATGTCCCTGGTTATCCCAATTATTTTAAGAATACTTCTAAAAATAATTTATTCAAATCAGGATCCAAATAAATCCATACATTAACATTGCTTGATACGTCTCATGTCTTTTTTTTCCTGCTTATATTTGTTGAACAAACCAGGTCAATGACCTGTAGAATTTCCTGCAGTCTAAATTTTGCTGACTAAATTCCCTATCCCTGACCTGTATGTGGTGTAACATGTTCCTTGTTCTCTGTATTTCCTATAAAACTTGATAGTTAGATCTAGAGGTCTATTTCCATCCTAAGGTCCATCATGTCTAGTTGGCTCTCTATTTATGATGTCAGCAGTCACTGATGAACACTGCCTAGATCCATTAGTTTATTAAGGATGGCAAAATGGTAGTATTTTAATTCTGTCATTCTTTCTTCATTTATTAGCTGAAATACTTTTATACTGAGCAACTGCCCCAAACCAAACTTTACTCATTAGTACAGTTTATATAGAAAAGGCAGGATATCTAAGACCAGTGAGGTTTTTTTCCTTTCTTTTTGTTTTTGAAGTATCACTATGAATTCAAAGATTTTAACCTATTTGATGTGTTGCTATATACTGCAGTTTTTACACTTAACTGCTCTTATACCAGTACCTCTTTTCTCCCAGTTTTCAATGACTTTAATTACCCATTTGCTTTATCCCATAATTAGGCTGCCTTTTATGGGCTGCATTTCCTCTTTGCTCAGGCTGCCACAGCATTAAGGAAACGAAGAATAAAGAAAAGGTGACGAACAATGAGAGGGGCAGAATAACCTCTTACAATCTCAATAATCAGTGCTGTGATAGCTGTATGTGTGCTTTAATGAGATGCCATCACAACTTTGCTTTGGGGACAGCTTTATTTATAGAACTGGGTCATCTAAATAAACTGCTCCCCCTTCACCGCACTTCCTAGACCTTCAAAATGGTAGAAGATAGCCTGTTAAATTCAATTGATGCTGATAACAATTAGCATATACATTTTAGGTCAAATTTACAATGTATCACTTACACCTTCTCTTTTGAATACATTATAGGAAACTTAAATCCAACTAATATGATTTAGGGCTATTTTATTCAATTAAACATGTTCATTAAGCCCTTACTGGATGAAGAGTATTAATGATGATCAGACCATTAACAAAGTTATATGACCTAGCAGGCAAGACAACTGAAGGCAGGGCATGATTAGTGCTTAAGCAAGCATATAAGTACTATAAGAACAAAAAGAAGGGAGAGACTCATTTAGAACCGGGAGATGGACGAGAAATGTCTTTGACAGAAGTAGCAGTATTTGAGCTGAGTCTTGAAAGATGGCTACATTTTCAAAACGTGAAGGAAGCAGAAGTGAGTTCATAAACAGAAGGATGAAGATGAGTACAGGCACCAAGAATGTACCGAGCAGACTCAAAAAACAGTGAGTATTCTGGAGTCAGCCAGGCCTAGGAGTATTATAGGGGTATATACTAGGAAATAAAACCAGAAAAGCAAAAAAAAATTACCTTCCTGATTGGCTTCATGGATGACTTTGCAGATTATCAAAATACTCAACCCAAAATTTCAGTTTAGAAAGGGATTCCAATGTCAAATACAAAATACTTTTCTTATACTGTAATTGCTTTTTCCATTGATAAATATATTAGAAATAAATTACACTTATATCTTATCCATTACTTCTACAGCTGGAAAGTTTCTTGTAAATCAATGCCATCTTTAAAGATGCTCTGGTCTATTTAATGAAGAGCTGTCCCTCTCAACATGCCTTATGATAGACTAATTTTAGTACAGAATGCCTAAAGCATTAGACAACTCCTGTTCTTACTGACCTATATAATACTAATTTATACAGTGCAGGAAAAAAAAAAAAAAACCTGGAAATTATTATAGCTCCTTTCTCCCAAAAAATCTGGGAATGAAATCCAAAGGAAGGCTGCAGTGTGATTATGTATGTGGAAAGAAGTGACATATTAGCATTTTGAATAGCTACAGAAGAATACAGCATTTGACTAGCTCTCTTCCATAAGCATAAAAAAACCCAAAGGTGACTTAAGACATTGTGTATATGTGTATAATCTTCCCTCCCCTAATCCCCAGGTTTAATTCACCTAAAAAGCTGTTGTGTACTGTGAAAATATTCATACTGTGAATTCATACTGTGAAAACAGAGACTGAATGAGGCTGAAGTGAGAAGGACAGCTGGTAGTATGAAATTGAAGTCATACAGTCACTTACATTCAACACATCCAAATACAAATCTGCCTTTCCAACCCTTAGACTGCATCTCCAATGTTCCTGACCTCAAATAACACAGTAATGTCAACATCATCTAAATTGGAGTCCTCCTGTTATCTTTGATTCTGCCTTCCTCCATGAGTTATTGTAGCCCTCTTTTGCAGAACATCTTCATTTGCATTCCTCCCACCCTCACCCGGAAACCACCATAAACCATTCAGCGACCAAATCCTATTGATGCCAATGTTAAAATCTTTCAAAGCTATACTCTTTTTTGTCTTTGCAGTTCCACAGTACAGAACTTGCATACTTTTATAATTTACTGCCTGGCCTATTAAGACACCTAAATAGGTTTCTCTGCTACCAACTCCTATCCTCTCCCATCTATTCCTTCAAACTACTAGCAGAGTTATGACGTAAAGCGGAGATCTGATGCTTTCAGCACAAAACTATCTAGTGGCTCCTTCCTTTCTCACAACATTCGAAATGAAGGGAAAACCAGCTGAGCTTTTCAATCAAATCTTCATTTTCTCCCTTTCACTTTAGCCAGACTATGCACTATTCTTCAAGAATGTCCAGCATGTCCGTGACTTAATCTTACACATGAAAAAGCTTCCCCAATCAAGATTCAGTTCAAAAATGTCTGCTTCTCCCAAATCTTTTCAGAACACCCAATTACAATTCACCTTTTTCTCATCTGCATTCTCGCACAGGACTTGTATACAACTCTAGTAGAGCAACAAAGTCTACCTTGTTGTTATGACTGCTTGGTACATGTCCAACTATCCTTAGGAATGCTCAACACTTTAATGACATATTTGTATCTTAAAATGCACAGCGTTTGCTTAATAAATGTTTAATTAGATGAAATCACTTGAGTAGGACAATACTTTTACGCACATAATACTCCCCAAATTAATTCAGAGTTCATCTACTAACCTCATAATTTTCTACTTCTCCATCTTCCACATCCAATTCAAAGCTAAAAGTTGGGCCCACTGTAGGTGGCACCGGAAGCATTGATCTGCAGTGAAAACAACCAACACTAGCATTGGTACTTTAGTACATTCCTTCAGTCAACAGGACATTTTAAGAACAAAGTTGGAAGGCTTATACTACCTGATTTTAAGACTTACAAAACTACAATTGTCGAAACAGTATGATATAGGCGCGTGGCCCTCTGATACAAAGATTACATCTCCTAGCCTTCCTAGCAAGTAGTGTGACTAAGTTGTGGCCAAAGGGATGGAAGTGGGAATGATATGTGCAACTTCTAGGGAGGCAGGTAGGCAGAGGGATCCATTTTTGCCAGCTGGGATGTGGACGCCATAGCTAGAGTCTGAGGAGCTACCTTGGATCATGTGGTGGAAGCCATAAAATTTGAGGTTGGTAGAACAACATTCCTCATAGTCATGGGGCTAATAAACTCTCCTTGGATTGCCTGCTTCTGGAATTCTTTACATGAGAGAAAAATAAAAAACTATCATGTTTAACTCATGGGTGTTTCTGTTGCAGACAAACTTAATCCTAACAGGATAGTTCTTAGACAAGAAATAACTTCTCTTCCCGTCCCCACCCCACCAAGAGAAGCAACAGTCCCAAAGCTGGGTAACCAACCAAAGGAGATATCACAATGATACCAGTTAAAAAGAAGCAAAAATCTTAACCATCATCTTTCCATGCACTAATTTGTTAAACCTATTTTTTGGTTCACAAATTTCTTCTTTCCCCGTGTCCCATGTCTTTGTTCTTCCCTTTCTTTAACCCTTAACTGGCTCCCCAACCCCAACCCCTTAACATAAGTAAAAACAAAACATAAACATCTAAAACACTCTAAGTTATACACTACAGAGAAAACATTTATAAAGGAAAAAGAATCTCACAGGTGTCAAAAATCAGAACCCATTAAAATAAGAAAGAACTTACAGCACATATGGTAGTAAGCTGGGATGATAAGGGGGAGGTGGTATTGGCTGCTGGGATCTATATCTACTACGTCCTGTGAGCCTCCGAGGCATAAATGGAGGATAAGGCTATAGGGGAAAAATGTTCAAATGATTTAAGATCATTCTACCTTTACAACTAATTAATCTGTCCAATAAACTCTCTTGTTTTTTAAAAACCTAGAAAGTTGTTTACTGTTTAAGTGGTATTTAGTATTTTTTATATGTTAACAGTATAGATGTGACAATCAATTTAAACATACTACTACCACTACCCGCTGCCATCGAGTCGATTCTGACTCATAGTGACCCCACAGGACAGAGTAGAACTGCCCCACAGGGTTTCCAAGGAGCAGCTAGTGGATTCGAACTGCCAACCTTTTGGTTAGCAGCCAAGCTCTTTACCACTGTGCCACCAGGGCTCCAATTTTAGCATACACTCAGGTATATTTCTAAATACAATTTTACAACTGAATAATTTCAAGAAAATATCTAAAATTCTAAACATGCTGACAGTTACACTGAAACACTACTCAAAATAAATAAGTTATCAAAGCAATTAATAAAGCACGAAAAACTTACTACTCCAAAGGACACCTCCTGATGCAAAGGATCATGTGTTAAGAACTGCAAAGGAGCTGATGGAGGTAATGTTGGGGGATGGGCTGATGGAGGGTAAGTAAAACCTCCTACTGGAAGATGTTCTCCTAAGAGTTCTACTTCATTTTCTATCCTCTGCAGAGGCTGAGGGGAAAAAAAAGCAAATCGACATACTTCTAGTGTTTAGATAGACTGTGCTTTATAATAAACAAAAATTTCAAAAACTCCAAAAACCTCTTTAAGACCTTGTATCTCTTGATATTCAATTCAACCTAAAATCATACAGGTGGATATACAGACTATAGTAAAACCTTCCTACCTTTAATTTCAATAAGAAAGTTTCCAAAACACGTTATTAAACATTCTCACTATTCCTTAAAGGATATATATATATATTTACCACTTGAACTTTCTCTCATTTTAAGAGACAAATATAGAAAGACAAAATCATCTAGTAAACCAATTATATACACATTACAATTACTTTTTATTCATGGTACCCTGACCTACACACAGGATTTTCAGACACAACTTTCATCAGATGAAATACAGCATGAGGTGCACTTGTAAATCAGAAGCAGGGCTAAATGGCGTAAGATATAGAAGGCACCATGCTGTAGCACAAAGAATATGGGCTTTGGTATTAGACAGAATCCCGGTGCTGTCACTGATCAGCCATGTGACTTTTAGATAAATTAATTAATCAGAGCTTCAGTACCACAGCATCTATAAAATCAATCAATATGTTCACAGTCTACTTAAAACATGTTGTGAACACTGAGACAATATATACAGAAAGCACACAGTGCTGTGCAAAGCACATACATGTGCTCTTTTAATAACAGATATAATTCACATACTAGAAAAGGAGAATAATTCAATGGATTTTAGTATATTCACAGAATTGTGCAACCATCACCACTAATTTCAGAACATTTTCATCACCCCAAAAAGAAACCCCATATCCATTAGCAGTCACTCCCATTTCCTTCCAATACCCTCCTTAGCCCTAGATAATCACTAATCTACTTTTGTTTCTATGGATTTGCCTGTCTGAACATTTCATATAAATGGAATCATACAATATGTGGCCTTTTGTGACTAACTTCTTTCACTCAGGATAATGTTTCAAATTCATCCACACTGTAGCCTGCATCAGTACTTCATTCCTTTTTATGGTTGAGTAATATTCCATTGTATGGCTAAACTACATTTTGTTTATTCATTATCAGCTGATGGACATCTGGGTTATTTCCACTTTTGCCTACTATGAATAATGCTGCTGTGAACATTTGCATACACATTTTTGTGTGGACATGTTTTTAATTCTCTTGAGAACATATGTTCTTAAATGTTATTCTGGCTTCCTTCCTCAGGTAAGCTTACTCTCTCTGGTACTTCACATGGTATGTAAATCCTTAGTAAAGGGTAGATAAGCTCTGCTATGATAGACTGTAAAAAGTTCCTTTTATAGGGGGCTGAAATCTTACACTAACAATTTTCATGTTATCTCTTCTGTTCCCTCTTAATGCCCAATGGCTCAGATGCTAAAGTTGGCCTGTCCAAAAAATAACTGGACCTTCTTCCTGTGCTGCTTCTTACACTTATATAGTACTTAAACCACCCTACCCTACAGTAATAGGCCTCTTAGTTGTATTCCAGCCCCAGAATAGAATTATGCTAATAGACTAACACTTGTTTTTCATAAGAGCATTGAAGAAAAACAAGCCTAGTCTCATCTTTCAGGAACAACAAATGAGGCTCAAGGTTATAGAAATATTTAGAAGATCAAAAGGTAAAATTCTGATACCTCATTCATAGGTTAGGGGGGAAGGGGGGCTAATAAATTAATACAAATATTTTACTGAATATTAACAATTTTACAATATTTCTACTTTCCAATTTAGAAATACATAAAAGGAAAAATCAGTATAACTAAATTAAAATTTTTCTTCAGATTTGCTTCCTTTTCCAGGATTGCAAATATGAAGCAAAACAAATTTAAATTAGATGATGGACATATAAAATAACCAGAAAAATTTAAAAATCTCAAATAATTCTAAGTATGTCTATATAAATTTGTACGTCTGTGAATTCCTTTAATTCTTTTAAGAACCAAAAATTACAGTGTTTAAATGTTTAACAGTGTACATTTGCTCAACTAATCTGCCTTTTAGGTCTAAACACTCTCGGAAGATTAAAGACTTAAGATACCTACCGATCGTGACTGCTGTGTTTGGAAAGGGACAAACTGGCCTGGTGGTGGCAAATGAGGAGGATGGTGTGGAGAAAGGTGAGGAGGATGTAAAAGAAATGGATCACTAGAAATAAGGGGTGGGAACGCAGCATATGGTACTGGTAAGTGCTGAACTGAACATGCCTGAAGCATCTGTAAGAGAAAAGTTATTTTTTTGTTAAAATTATCAGAAAATACAATTAATTAAAAAAAGACACAGTGAGACTGAAATCTGCCATTGCCACACCTCAAAAACAATACCAAAATGTTTTTATTAATCTGTATTAACAATGAAGTACTAGTATATTTTTACATCTATAATTAAAGTACTGGTAACTAGTAATTCCACCACCAATCTACCAGTCTGTCATACTGTGGTGGCTTGTGTGTTGCTATGATGCTGGAAGCTGTGCTACCAGTATTTCAAATACCAGCAGGGTCACCCACGGTAGACAGGTTTCCGCAGAGCTTCCAAACTAAGAGAAAACAAGGCCTAGTGATCTACTTCTGAAAATTAGCCAATGAAACAGAACATTGTCCAACTCGCCTGCTTTGGACATGTCATCAAGAGGGATCAGTCGCTACAACAGGACATCATGTTTGGTGAAGCAAAGGGTCAACGAGGATGTGGGGGACCCTCAGTGAAACAGATTGGTACAACAGCTGCTGTGATGGACTCAAACATGCCGGCCGGCGACTGTGAGGATGATACAGGACCAGGCTACATTTCATTCTGTTGTACATAAGGTCACCATGAGTCAGAGTTGACTTGACAGCAGCTAACAACAACAACAAAACTAATTATCCTGTATTTTATACAGTTCTTAACAAATCAGTCAAAATATGTAACTTTTACTCTCGCCTTTTTAACACCCAGTAAAAGTGCTGGATAAAAGAGGAATCTCTCTTTACTTGGTTTAAGATGTAACCGATACCACAGCTTACTCCAAGAAAGTGTCCTTTTCGATCATATAGAACTTTTTTTTATTTCTAGGATTTTTATATTTGTAACAGTCCAACTCACAACTGCCTTATGACTTTTCAATATTTTTAGTTGGAAACTACAGTACACTGGCTCTATAATCTATTACTGAGAAACCAAGCTTGGGTAAATTAATCCATTAAACTGGTATTGGTACACTTATGTGTGTGTCTTGTTTTAATCTCACCTCCAGAGCAAAATATTAGGGTTATCTTTAGTTGTTTTTTTAAATTTAGGTTTAGCCAAACGTTTTCCTTTCAAGACATTATTGACCTTAGACATGTCATTTAAATCTATAGATTTCAGTGCCCTCATTTGTGAAATCATGGAGTTGGACTGGGGGTTGGCCAATTAAAGGACAAGGCATGAGCTCCAGAGGGAGATAAAGCATGAGCTTCAGAGCCAGAAAGAAGTGGGAGAGAATCTCTGCTCTCCCACAGTAATTATCTTTAAGATTTTGGGCAAGTCACGTAACTTTTCAGTTTTATCATTGAGAAAATGGGGATGATATAATTTTCATCACAGGTTTCCTATTACAAAAAAGCCAAACTCGTTGCTGTCAAGTTGATTCTGACTCATAGCACCCCTACAGGATGGAGCAGAACTGCCTCATAGGGTTTCCAAGGAGCAGCTAGTGGATTCAAACTGATGACTTTTTGGTTAGCAGCCAAGCTCTTAATCACTGTGCCACTAGAGCTCCTATATAGTAACGTATAAATTAGACCAAGCACTAAAAGTGCCCCTTAAAACCTATTAAGTGCTGACAATGTTACTATTGATCACTAAGGTTTCTGGAGACTTTATTAGTAACTAGTCCAACATCATATGTTAATATCCCAAGGCCACTCTTTACCATGCTTTGTTAATAAACAGGGTTGATATATGAGGGACCGTGGTTTGATTTTCAAGACATTCAAATACGTTTAATTTAATTAATGTAAAAGTATATAAAAAACCAATTGCTGTCAACTCAACTCCGACTTATGGCGATTCTAAGTGTGTCAGAGCAGAACTGTGCTCCATACGGTTTTCAACAACTGATCACCAGACCTTTGTTTCAAGGTGTCTCTAGGTGGACTCAAAACGCCAACCTTTAGATTTGGAGCTAAGCGTGTTAATTGTTGGCACCACCTGGGGACTCCTTAACTTTTTAAAATGGCAACTATATATAGATGCTACTGAGATTTCTACTGCAATAGGATTGTCTTTTTTTTTTTTAAACTTGGAAGTAAGGCTACAAAAGCAGTCTCTTAAGAAATGTTATTTGCTTAAATAAGACACTTAGCCATTCTAAATAGGGATTTGAGATTTAAATTACAAAAAAAAAAATCCAGGTTGGTGTGCTTAAAAGTAACATCTTAGGAGAACAGAAACATAGACTTACTGGAGGAGGCACACTACAGACAGGGAGGTGCTGTCCACTGAAAACCACAGAGCATCCTGGGACTTGTTGTGCACTGCAAGCAGGGATGTGCTGGCCTGTGCAGAGTGGAATCCCATGTGGTGCCACTGTTGTTACTGTGTAAGAAACAGGGACTGTGCCCTGATGGAGCTATTAGGAAAGAAGAACAGAATTTTAGCCATTTTGACAAAGCATTAACTATAAAAAAATAACATTTAAACTTACACATCAGTGTTCACAGCAGTGTTATTCACAAAAGCTAAAACGTGGAAGTTAACAATCCAAGTGTCCATCAACAAATGGATAAACAAAATATGGTATATACGTACAATGGAGTATTTAGCCATAAAAAGGAATGAAGTTTTGATATATGCTGCAACACAGATGAACTTGAAGACACTATGCTAAATGAAATAAGCCAGACACAAAAGGTAAAATGTTGTATGATCCCACTTACATGAAATATCTAGAATAGGCAAACTCATAAAAACAGAAAGTAGATTAGTGGGGGGGGGGGTCATTTAGGAGTTATTGCTTAATGGCTACGAAGTTTCTGTTTGGGGTGATGAAAACTTTTAGAAATAATAGTGATTACTGTACAATATAGTGAATGTAATTAATGTCACTGAATTGTACACTAAAAATGATTAACACAGAAAACCTCATGTGTCAGAGCAGAACTGTTCTCTACAGATTATGGTTTTCAATGGCTGTGATGTTTCAGAAGTAGATCACCAAGCTTTTCTTTCAAGGCACCTCTGGGTAGATTTGAACTGGCAACCTTTCAGCTTGTAGTTAAACCCTTAACCGTTTGCACCACCCAGGGACTCCAAGAGTAGGTTATGATTCCCACAGAACTAGTACTAAACTCTTCCTTCAGAGAAATGAAAAGCCCAGGGCTTTACAAAGGGTTGTGGTGGTTCCATTTAGGAGAGGAGAATAGCATTAAAAAGTTAATCATCTCCCTTGCTCCTGTCCAGTCTTACTTCCATCCTACCTACCCTTAGTCAAAAGATGTTAATAATATATCCTTCCACATCTTCCTCCATGAGCATACATATACAAGAACGATTATACTTATCATGTTTGTTTAAAGGAAATGAGGATATTACTCTGCAACTTTCTATAGCCATCTCTTCTATGTGAGTAAAAAGGGAGTTAAAGGCAACTCATTCTTTTTGATACTAACCAGATAATCCAAGCACACTTGCTTCATACAGTCCCTATTATTCATATACTAATGGATATTCAAGTTGTTTTCACTCTTTTGCCAATACCAACACAACTGTAAAAAATATCATTGAACATATACCGAGATATTAGTTTTATTTCAGATAAATGTCATGAATCTGTTATTCATGATATTTTTTTTAATGTAGTAAAATTGTAGCTTTTGAGTTTCCTTTATTGATGAGGTTATACAATCATACCAGGACTTCAAACCAGTCCTAAACTTTTCAGTCATGTACACATTGCATTGTAATCATATCTCTTGCACATTGCCTTTTGACTCGAGTAGGAAATAGGCAGAGACGATGACCGACCGTGCTGCTATGTATGTGTACTGTTCACCACAGTCCTGCCAATAACCTAATCTCCCACATCAGGAAACTTTAAGGAGTTTGGATTATTGGCAGGACTGTGCAGAGTGACACCCATTCAAAGTGGCACAACTGGCTGCCATCTTTGAGTGGGGCACTGCTGTCTTGGTTGCTGTGCAACACATCCGTTGCCCTTGTCTCCCTTAGCTATGACTGAACTGCTTTGTAGCCCTGCCTGGTTTCCATCGGCCATGACTCAACCGTTTAGAACTGGTTCAAAGCCTTGAATCATACTCCTAAACTTGCTAATACTTTTATTTTTTACATTTAACTTATACTCCAATTAAAACTTGTTTTGTTTATAAGGTGAAGTAGAGCTCTAATTTTTCTTGCAGACAGATAGATAATTATACCTACACTAGTTATTAAACCAGGCTTTTTCCTCTATAAACAGAAATACCATCTTTTTCTCCATTCAATTAAGTTCCCACATACACCAGGATCTATTTATCTACATCTGTGCCAATCAGTACTGTTTTAATCACAGTATCTTACTAGAAAGGTTAATATCTAGCAACACAAATTCTTCTTTATGTGTAAATTAATTTTATCCAGTTCCAAACCCCATTGTTATTCTGATTGTAACTGTATTAAATTTTTATGTTATTTTACAAAGTACTCAATTTTATATTAAGCCTTTTCATCCAGAAGCATATTATGCATCTATACATTCAAGAAGAAACTAGTTTTCTTCATAAAGCTCTTACAATCTTTCTTGTTAAACTTATTCCTCAAAGTTATTTTGCAGGTTTTGTTACACAGGCAGTCCTCAACTTACGACAGTCATCAGAACAGAACCCTGTCCCAAGTTGGTTCTAAGTCAAATACCTCTTTTTTCAGTTTTCATTATTATTGCCTTTTATTATCAATATCTTTATAAATCCAATCTTTGAACATCTGCGAGTAAACATCTGTGAATGATAACATCAGCAAATTACATGCTGCCACACCGTATGTAGTACATACTACCAACAATAAGATGTACAAAAAAACCCCAAATAAATGGTCGTAAGTGTAATTCATTGTAACTCGAATAGTCGTAAACTGGGGACTACGTGTACTGTCAATATGCTTTTTTTCTCTATTTCCATGTCACTGAGGCTGGATGAACCCCTGAAATTACTGCTGTAAGATAATCTTTACACAGAAAACAGAGAAACTAAAAATGAAAAGAGTCTAGCCTCTGATGAAGCAGGAAAGAAGCCAAGTCTGATCAATGTTTGTCTACTGTGTCTTATCAGCGGTTCCTGTATCTCCCTTCTTGTACCATCCAGAAGACTATTTTTATCAACTGTTTTGTAAAATGCGAGTTTTTTGGTAGGTCTAGAAACATTTTTAAGGGGAAATCTCACTCCGTCCCATTTTTTAAGTGTAAATGCCTTTTTTCCAAGAGGTGTAATCATTTGCTGGTGGTTTATTTTTTGGTACAACCAGAATATAGTGAGATGTTGAATTGTGGGAGGCTTTGACTGTCTCGGGTATCAACATAACATTCCATAGCATGGGAAGGGGAGGGGGAGGGGGATAGTTTTTATATCCCATAATACAAAGCAATTTGGAGTCAAGGTCATGCATTTACATGTCTTTGAGCATTTTAAATTACTTCTGTTTCCATGTTGTTTTTCAGTAGAATTGTTTCTTAAAGAAAATGGCTCCCTCATCATGGCGCTGTCAGAACTGTGCGTTCTGTAACATATTTGGTCATGGTATTCCAGTTTTCCTAATAACTTTGCTGTGTTCTGTGAAAGGTTGAGCATATGAGTGTATAGTGTGATATTAAATTGTGATTAGTGAGACTTATGATGTAACAGCTTATTTACAACTGAAGATAACTGGCACTTGATATGCTCTTAAGGAAAATTTGCCTCCACATTTAAAATTGGAAAGTTACTGGAATTTAGAAAAGAATTATAACTACGTGGCTTTTTAGATTTTTGGTAAGTACATTAAGAATTGTGTACAAATTGTTCATGTCTCTCTACTGATTCTCAAAACAACCAAAAAAAAAAAAACCAATTATGAAGAAAAAAGACTCAACTGGGTTTTCTTCAAATTACAATTGTATCATGAGGAAAAAAAGATACAACTATGTTCTCTTGAAAATGTTTTCTATCCATTACTACATTATCTTGTTTCATTTGCTAAAACTTCTAAGACAATATTAACTAAAAATAGATAGAGCAAGCCTCTCTCTAGTTGATGTTTTTGTCTCTCATTGGTTAGGATATTTGCTGTTAGTTTTATTCATTATATTTAAGTATTTTCCTTCTCATCATAAATTTATAGTTATAGCATTTGGCATTAAAATTATACTGGCTTCGTAAAAATAAATGAGGGTAGAGAATCTGCCTTCAAAAGAAAAATCTTGAAATCATTTATATATTATTAAAATTTCTGTTCCTTGAAGATTAGAAAAAAACTCACCTGTGAAGCCATCTGGCCACTGTGCCTTTTCAATGGTAAATCTCTATCTTTCATGTTTCTTTTCCCCCTGTAGTAATTCAAATTTTCCTCTTATTGTTAGATCAATTTTTTGAACTTTGTTCTCCTAATACTCCTTTTGAAGCAGTTACTATTTCTATCCCTGTCTTTGTTATGTTAATGTGACAAGATTAGTGTAGTGCGTGTCTTGAGTTAATCTCTTTCTAGATATAAAAGAGATTAAACAAGCAAAGAAAGAAGCAGAGATGGGGTGAGATAGATGCCAAGACACATGGAGATCTCCAAGGAATCAGGAAGCAAAAGATAAGAGGCAAGGACCTTCCCCCAGAGCCAAAAGAGAGAAAGCCTTCCCCTGGAGCTGGTGCTCTGAATTTGGACTTCTAGCCTCCTAAATTGTGAGAAATAAATTTGTTTGTTAAAGACACCCATTTGTGGTATTTTTGTTATAGCCGCACTAGGTGACGATCCCATTTTACACACTGAAGAAAATTCTTTGATTGTCTCCCATATGTGTGCATGTGTCTTCTATCATTCCTAATTTTTGTTGTATTTGCTCTTTTCCCCTTAATCAAGCTCACAAGAGTTGTGTCACTTATACTGATTTTTCAAAGGACCAGGATTGGATTTTCTTTGTGCTCCCCTTTTTTTTTTTTAAACTAGATTTCCATATGATTAATTTCAGTTGTTTTTCCTGGTAATTTACTTATTTCAATTTCTTTTAGTTTACTCAGCTATTTTTCACTGATTATTCAATTAGTTCATTTATTTTCAACTTTTAAAATAATGAAGGTTATAAAATTTTCTCAGAGAACAGCATTAGGTATGTCCCACAGATTTTGGTAAGATTTCTCCTTTTAATTATTTGCCTCACAAATTTCAAATATTTAATCATTATTTTTTTAAATTAATTTTTCACTTATGATTTATAGTTTTATCAAGTTATAACCACAAAGAATGTGGCCTGGAAAGACTTCTCTTCTAGAATTTACTATTGTGATCAATTTTTAAAACTGTTTCAAGGGCATAAAGGAAGAAAATGTTTGACAGATGAATGGCATCTGGGTAAGATCATTATTTTGTCTCAACTGCCACTATGCCTTCTTGTTTTCTATCACCCAGTGCAGTAAATGAAAAATTGGATGCTAGTTTGATTCTCTTTCCTTTGTAATTTTTCCTGTCCATGAACTTGTAAGATTTTCTTCTTCATCCTTAAAATTCAGCAACTTTATACAGATACATCTAGATTTGTGTCTTTCTGGCCTTAGGACCCCCACATAAAACCATACGATTTTGGTCTTCACCCCCCGCCCTGTCCTCAGCTAGTTCATCAGTTCTCGGCAGAAGCAAAGAGAAATGAAGCCTTGTATCTGTCTTCTCCCTGGAGACCTATGGAAAACCTGTAAGCAGAGGTAACACCCACAAGAATTGTCTACTGAATTATTGCAGAAGAAAGTGGAAGGGAGAGGGTAACAGGGACATGTATTCAAACCATAACCTGTCTAGTTTTTCCCAGCAATCTAAAATCAGCAATTTCCAACCAATTCTTACATGAAGTCACTCTGAGCTTTTATAACCTTGATCAGCTGTCTAAGGGAGACAGGTAGAATTCAAATTTCAATCCTTACGAAGAAGGAAGTTAATTAGAATAGTTTCATTTTAGGTAAAACTGCTTCCTTTTGGGTAAAACTGAAAGAAATTTGCAACAATACAATGGAGTATTATTCAGTCATAAAGAGAAATGAAAGGACCAGGGGAAGGGAGGAGTGGGGAGTTACTGCTTGAGTTTCTGTTTTGGGTGATGAAGAACTTTCAGAAATGGGTGGTGGTGATGGTTGCAAAATATGGTGAATATAATGTCACTGAATTGTACACTTAAAAATGGTTAAAATGGCAAAAAATTTTGTTTTTTATATATACTTCCAAAAAATTTTACAAAGGGAGGAAAGAAAAGAAAGAAGAAATCTGCAACAAAAGCCCCAAACAGTTTCGATAAACTACAACCAACTTTTAGCATTGTTATTTCCAGGACATTCTGTTACTATACCTGATCGTGTATGTCAACCATTACTGCATTCTGCTGTGGTGGATGAGCAGCAGGATGTAACAGACGGGGGGATACATTCGGAGGGTGGAAGGCTCGAGGTTCCTCTATTGCTTGCTGCTGTGCATATGGGAGATGGTGGTAGTTTTCATCTTGACTAACGGAATTATGTCGAGACAGACGATCCCTTCTTCCTCTCTGGCGCCTGACAGGAGGACTGCAATACAGTATATGTCAAAGAGAAGGTCAATACAACATTTACTGTTGTGATCCATCAGGATTCTGCATTGTCTCTCTCTTTGCTATCCATGTACCCTAATGTAAGCTTGGGTACTAAATGATTGCTATGGTCCATCATCAGTTCTAAAAACGTACAAATTTAAACACAGGGTATATATATATTTTTTTAAAAAAACAACAAAAAATTGGTATTCAGCTCTGAAAGTATTTAGAAGTCAACAGCCAGCCACTGTCTTGTTTTTTTTTTTGCAGGTGGGGGCGGGAGGTTTGAATCATATTAAATTGTCCTTTTGTAGGTAACAAACAAACAAACAAAACATCAGCCATTTCATATGGTTCAACCTAATACTTTGCTCCTCTTGTTCTATAAATATTACAATAAAAAAATTTTAATCTGCAGATCTTGTCAGTATTCATCATACACCTAATGGGTCCCTTACATTTATCCTTTTGGCTAAAACATATAGAAGACATAGTTCCTAGATGTCCAAAATGATACTCTAAAATAAGAATAGAAACTGTATGAAATAACTGGAGAACATATACCAAATAACTTGTTGACAACTGCAAATACAGGAAATGAGTAAATGCTGAGAATGGAAATGATTGAGAGATGGTGTCAACATAAATGTTCTGGGAATCTAGAATTTTCCATTAGAATTTGGTTACTAAAGCCAACTCAAACCACTTTTACTCCCCATATACTAACCATCTTCTTAGTTTAGCAAAAATTTCAGGAAGCTGTTATTGTGACTGCACTTTATTTTCTACTTGTCTACCCTTCCACAATTCATCTCAGTTGCTTTTTCCAAAAGCTCAGCACAAATGCAATTCTAAAAAGTAATAACCAAAAACCAAACCAAACCAAACCCACTGCCATCGAGTTGATTCTGACTCATAGCAATCCTACAGAACTGTCCCATAGGGTTTCCAGGACTGTAATCTTTGTGGAAGTAGACTGCCACAGCTTCCTCCTGTGGCATGGCTGGTGAATTCAAATTGCTGACCTCTCAGTTAGCAGCTGAGTGCTTTAACCACTGTGCCACCAAGGCTCCTCTAAGAAGTAAAAGGCACCCTTAAAATGTACTCTACATTGGGCAAAAGGGGCCAAAAATCTCCCTTCCAGGCACAGCCACACACAACTACCTTAGCAACTTCTTTTTACTGAGATCAGGTCACCTCTCCTCAACCTTCCCACTCTGTACACCTCTAAACCTGTTTCTTCTCATGTCCAGCTCTCCAATTTGTAAGAGAACAATTCTTTGCAAGATTAACTTCTCAATAGTATTCTTTTTTTTAAATTGTACTTCAGGTGAAGGTTTACAGAACAAATAGTTTCTCATGAAACAGTAGTACACATACTGTTTTATGACACTGGTTAACAACCCCACAACATGTCAACCCTCTCCCTTCTCGACCTTTTTTGTTTGTGAAAATATACATAGCCAAAGATACACCATTTCAAAAATTTCTACATGCACAGTTCAGTGACATCGACTACACTCTTCCAATTGTGCTGCTATTCTCACTTTAGATGAAGGCTTACAGAACAAAATAGTTCCTCCTTTAACAGTCAGTACACATGTTGCCCTTTAACAATGGTTAACGACCTCACAACACATCAACATTATCCTTACTCAACCTTGGGTACCCTACCACCAGCTTTCCTGTCCCCT